ACCCCCCCCCCCCCCCCCCCCCCCCCCCCCCCCAAAAAAAAAAAAGAAGGCTGGAAATTCTATCCATTAAAATGATCCGAAAGGTGGTCTTGCTTATTTTATTGCTCCAAAGGACACGTTAGAGCAGGGTTGTTAATTTCGATTATACCAAGAAATAGAAAAGCAAAACATTGAAGGTCGGAACGATTGGGCATGAGCTTGGCCATATGCTTGGCTTATGGCATGAACATTCACGACCCGATGCCGACGAACACATTGAGGTGCTCAAGGATTATATCTTGCCATCTTATGTGAGCGAATTTTTGGAACGAAGTACTGATGAAATTATAACTTTCGATGTCCCATACGACCTTGGTTCGATCATGCATTACGGTTCCACAGCGTTCAGCGCTGATCAGAAAAGCAAAACACTTCGGACACGGTAAAAATAATCATTCATGCTTTGTAGTGGATCGAAACATATGTGTTTTTAACTCATCTCATAGCGCTTTTGCGTGGGGGACAAATTCCAGTTCTTGCATTGCATATTCCTCTCGCTTACAAAAACATCCTATTTGGCAGGGAAGTAGCGAAAGTTTACAGTGGAGAGGGAAGAATAAGGAATGATAGGGCCTGACTACTCCCGATCAGCTGCATCCATGAGTAGCATCTCAGCAGCAGCATTGAAATGCCCACACCTATAAATTTTGTATTTTGGTACTCTCCGCCTCAATACATCAAAATAGATAGTACAAAGACTGGCTTATTCCCATCCCGCCTTCCAATACAATCCTAACCGAGGCTGGAACACACCAGGCGGGCTGGCGCGATTATGCGTTTTTGCACTTTTCGTCTCGTAGCAAGATAGCAAGGAATCACAGTAACTAACTCTGTAACATACTGGCTCTCGAAGTTCGGGAAGTTAATTGTGCAGCTACGTGGTATGTCAGTTGTATATGTCGATTTCAGTGACCCGACAAATGGAAAGTTTCCAGTCCGCCAAAAGGGCCGCACTAGAAGAGTTAAATTTGAAATCTTTTAGTCGCACATGATTATGGGAAATCCCCTTAAAATTAAAGCCTTCAGCTTTCCCGTTCCCAAGTTAGCATTTTTCCCATCAAAGTTTTCAAGTGTCCGTACATGAGTACCGATCGATTTTAAGGTGCTGAATTTGAAATCTTTTGGTCGTACATAAGTAGGGAACACTACCCTAAAGTTTCAGTTTTCTAGCTTTTTTCGTTCCTAGGTTAGTAATCTTCGCGCCAAAATTCCCACGTGCCCGTACATGCACTGCAGGTGCTTCTAAACACCTGATTTTGGTTGTGCATGTGTGAAGATAATTTTAAAAGAACTTACCTTATTCGAGCAGTGTCGAGGGCCAGTGTGGAGTGTGTGTGTGTGTGTGTGTGTGTGTGTGTGTGTGTGTGTGTG